TAGATGTAGTATCGAAGTATCTATAATTTTAGCTTATTGTGTTTTGAATAAGTCAGAAGAACATACACTACCATTAATTTTTTCAATACTGTTACAAGAGATGCATTAAATTGATCAAAAGTGGCAGTAAATGCTTTAACATACAGCATTAATGCTCTAATTTTCAACCTTGTATTCATCAAAGGATCCTAAAAATGTATCAGCATAAAATCAGCATATTAGCACGAAATTAGCACCAAATTAGTATATTAGAGTGATTTATGAAGGATCATGTGACACTGAAGTCTGGAGTAATGATGCTGAAAATTCAGCTTTGCCATCACAGAAATACATTACATTTTAAAATATAATAAAATAGAAAACATTTGTTTTAAATTGTAATAACATTTCAAAACATTACAGTTTTTACTTTATTCTTGATTAAATAAATGTAACTTTGGAGAGCATTAGAGACTTATTTCAAAGTCTTAATGACCTCAAAATGGAAGTGTATGAAAATTAAATTGTGTTTCAAAAGAAGTAGAGAGAGAGAAAATTTGAATTTTGGAAAAAACTTTATTTACAATGAGAGAGAGAGAGAGAGAGAGAGAGACTTCTTTTGAAAGTAACATGGAATTTCATTTTCATACACTTCCTTTTATTACAAATCAATAGTATTATGTTTGCTGGGACCCCAAATGCAAAGTCAATCAAATGAGAGCAAAAGAGCATGCACACATAGAAATGACAGTAGTGCACACACACACACACACACACACACAACTATTAACAGACTATACTTTATGGAAATATACTTTGATAAGCATCACAGAATCTATAACTTTGTGTTTGTAGATTTTTTTAATAAAAAGGGTAATAAACATTTACCCTCATAAAACAGAGCACTGTTGGGCTGATTATCTTCAGCCTTATTTTGATGCTATGCTTTTGAGTTCAAGATTGTTTCCTTTCAAACAACATACCACTATTTCTTTAAAAAAAAATTTGAGTGATATCTGAACTCTCATTATTCCGAATACCTCACCATTTGTGTGTGTTATGGCCAAGGGATGGAAGGTATTTTTGAGAGTCTCTAGTCTTGCTAAACACCCACAATGCGAGTAAATTACAGTGGTTATTTAATGGGCCTGTGTTCCATGCATCCCTTTGTGGTGTATATGTATATTCCGTACACTCAATTCTCCAGGCTTTGTTGTTTCATTTGTAATTTAGCATCTTGCTCAGACAGCTTGCACAAAGAGAACTCTTCACCGCTGTGACTCACCTCAGAATGATGGCATGTAATAGAGCATTGATCTGAAGGAAACCAGGTCAATTTTGTGAAGATCAATGCAGTGCTGGGTGCTGAATGTCAGAGTGGAAGCCGACTGTGGTAGTTTTGAGGTGCGCGTTATTTTTAACTAATATCCTGTCACCTAATGAATCTTATGAGGTGTGTGAACTAAAACAAGTTACAGAACTGATTTCAAAACTCATCTTTAGCCTAGTTTTGAATCAAAATGTTCAGCAATCCAGTTCAGATATGAAGTCTCCAAAAAGCATGCATATCTGAAAGTATGGCACATACACTGTTTTTAAAGTCTAAATTCAGAGTAAAGCTGTTAAGAATTTTTTTTTTTTTAACTTCTGCAAAACACTGACATCAGGCGTTTTGCAGTTTGTGTCTCTATAAGTAACTGTTGCACGTTTTAAAAATAAAAAAATAGAAAAACGTCTCAGGTTACTTGTGTAACCATGGTTCCCTGAGGGGAACGAGACACTGCGTCCTCTAGGGGTCGCTATGGGGAATGCCTCGTCGTGACCCGTGTCTGAAGCCTACATTGAAAAAACACCAACTTGTTTAGTTCGAAGTTCCACGAAAGGGAACTATATATATATATATATATATATATATACACACACAGGCACATGACATCACACAGCTGCCACACAATCCTACACTGTGACTCTCAGAGGTCGCAGTGCATGACAGAAGATTAATTTAAAATTCCTTAAGAGTGATCGATTGTGGCCCGCAAAGATTTTCTTCACTCGCATATTTGTAAATAGACCCTTTGTAAATACTGCCTTTCTTGCCTGTCAGACGGCTGCACTGTGCACAGTTGCATTAAAAATTTATCTGCGGCAGTGGCAGGATAGGAAAGGCTTAGCACATTGCCAAATGACTGATTAAAAAGGAAGAGCTTTAATCTTTGCTTAAAAGTGTCGACCAGCTTGGCATGCCCTCCACCCTGTGCCCTACCTCGAGCTGGAGGAGAGGGATGGTGGAAAAGTGGGCAAAAGGGGGAGGGGATACTGTATGGCTTCATAAAGCAGGTCATGTATGGGGTGAAGATTGTATTAAACCCTTTGTTCTGAAAGAATTATGGAGAATTATTGTACTTGGGCTTTTTTGCCTATATTGGATTGGAGGACGGATCCGAAATCAAAAATTTAAAGGAATGTTCTAAAATAAAAAATCACTCACCAACCACCCTCATGTCATTCTAAATCTGTTTGACTTTCTTCTGCAGAACTCAAGATAAGATATTTTGAAGAATGTTTCAACAGCGTCAGCAACGAATGTAAATTGGGTCAAAAACAACATTGGACCCCACTGATTGTAGATGGATGGATGGATTGAATTATGCCTCACAATTCTGACTTTTTGCAAGTGAGATATAAACTTGCAATTCTGAAAAAAATGTGAATTGTGAGATTTAAACTCAGAATTCAGAGGAAAAAAAAGTCAGAATTTCAAAATATAAACTATAGAGAAGAAAGTCAAAATTGTGAGATGTAAATTCAGAATTGTGAGAAATATCTTGCAATTCTGACATTTTAGTTTATAGAGAAACAAAGTCTGAATTGTAAAATAAAAGTTTCAATTATCTTTTGTTATTTATTCATTCATTCAATCAATCATTCCATGGCAAAAACAAGCTTCCATAGATTTGGAACAATGTGAGGGTGAGTAAATGATGACCAGGTTTTCATTTTTAGGTGACCTTTGAAAGTGAAGTGTGAGATTGTTTGCCCTTTGTTCTTGTGTATTGAAATGAAGAGACAACTACAAGTAAGCCATAGCAGACTGGTTTCCTCTGTGGTGCTTTAAAAGCATTGTTCTGTTTTTTTTAACATTCCAACCTGCCTGAAACAGCACCACTGGGACAGGAGTATCTGTTTGTACAACCAATGGCTGACAGGAGTTTTTTGCATTTTGTAAAATAGTGACACTAGTGATAGAAATTATACACGTCAGTTCGGTTAGAAGGAAGTCATTGTTCACTTTGTTTATAATGAATTTGATTATTAGTACATACAGTGGGTATAGAAAAGAATCATTCCCCTTTAAAATAATTAAATTGTGTTGCTTTGCAGCCTGAAATAAAGACGGACACAGTTTTTGTTTTATCCAGTTGTATTTACGTTGTAGTGCAACTTATAACATCCAAGTGAAAGATATAATACCAACATGTCAGAAAAAAAAATAAAAAACAGAATCACTGAGTTGGAAAAAGGATCACCCCCTTGTGTCAGTATTTTGTTGAACTACCTTTTGCTTTAATTACAGCCTTTAGTCTGTTGGGATATGTCTCTGAATTTGATGGTGACCGTTTGTGGACTGCAGTCTTCAAGTCACTCCACAGATTTTCAGTAGGGTTTAAGTCTGGGCTCTGACTAGGTCCTGCAAGGACATTCACCTTTTTCTCCTTCAACCACTGTGTGTTCAATTTTGCTGTGTGCTTTGGGTCATAGTCATGTTGGAAGGTAAACCTTCTTCCCATTGACAACATTCTGGCAGAGGGCAGTAGATTTTCCTCAAGAATTTGACGGTATTTTGCCCCATCCATTTTTCCTTCTATCCTGACAAGTGCTCCGGTCCCTAGCTGCTGCAGAGAAACACCCCCATAAAATGATATTACCACATCCATGCTATTTATATTACTGTAGGAATGCTGTTGTTTGAATGATGAGCTGTATTGGATTTCCGCCAGACATATCGTTTGGTGTTGGGGCCAAATAATGTGCATGTGGTCTTGAAGAGTGGCGTTTTTCTTACAACCCTCCCATACAAGCCATATTTGTGGAGAATGTGTGATATTGTTGTTACATGCAAACAATAACCACTCTTTGTCATAAATTCCTGCAACTGCTTCAGAGTTGCTGTAGGCCTCTTGGTAGCCTCTCTGACCAGTTTCCTCCTCTTTCATCCAGTTTAGTGCGACGTCCTGATCCAGGGAGGGTCTGTGTTTTACCAAATACCTTCCACTTCTTAATAATAGACTTTACTGTGCTTCTAGGCATTGATAAAGTCTTTGACATTTTTTTGTATCCATCTCCTGACTTGTGCCGGTCCACAACTTTATCCCGGAGATCTTCTGACCAGAAGGTGTCCCTTGCCACCCATAGTTTATTGTTTGCTTCAGTTGCACTACCAAGAACTGAAATTTTCCAGGAAAGCTCTTTTCATGCTGAGCTAATCAAAATGACCACAGCTGATCACAGTTGAACGTCAAATGGCTTTGTGTAAAATTGAGAAGGTGATTAGCTACACCTGATTGAGTTTACAAGTCATTTTTAGGAGGGGGTGATCCTTTTTCCAACACAGTGATTCTGTTTTTTGCTTCTTCTTTTTTTCCTGACATGTTGGTGTTACATCTTTCACTTGGATGTTATACAGTAAGTTGCATTGAGTAAATACAGCTGGATAAAACAAAAACTGTGTCCGTTTTAATTTCAGGCTGCAAAACAACAAAATGTGATTATTTTAAAGGGGGGTGATTCTTGTCTATACCCACTGTATATAGTAGTTGTGTAATGAACAAATTTATAATCACAATACTAAATGATGAGAAGTGTTTCAAGAAGTGAAATAAAAGAAGAGAGAAGTAATTTGAAAAAAAGACATACGACATAGACAGACATGCTCTTCAGTGTTTGTAGAAGCCAAGCCTTATAGATGGGGTGTGTGTGCCTGTATGTGTTTTCACTGGCATTGCAGAGAGGAGCAACAGGGATAAAGAATCTGATTTCACAGAAACTGGAGCTCGCTTCAAAGAAGACAGCAACTATCCCCCACTGATAGAGCTCAAGCAAAAGAAAACAGCAACCAAGTATGTAACGCAGACAAACACGCATACACACATTGACACAAGCGCATACGCTCATGCTTAAGACTCAAGCACTCAAACACAAGATATCTTCCCCTTCAGTCCTGCTCAACATGAGTCCCCCTCTCATTAATCACGTCCCCAGCTTCTGCACCCATTATTTATCCCTACTTAACTTCATTCTTCTTTTCTCAATGTCAATCGGCATTTATTATCATTAATGTTGTTGTTTTATTCTTGATCTATGGATATCAGAAGTAGCAGTACTTCAATAAATAAAAATGATGCAACCATGGCAATCTTTCTACAGCATCAGAAGTACAAGCACAGAACTCATGGGTTGTGCAGTAATGTGACTATAAACATTAACACTTATTGCTTCAAAAAGTTTGTCTGGTGAGGTATTAATGTAAACAGAGTTGGTTTGTTATATAAAAAAGGGTATTATATTGTTAATGTGGTAACACTTTAGTATAGAGACCAATTCTGACCATTATCTAGTTGCTTATTAGCATGCCTATTATGAACATATTGGCTATTTATTAGTACTTATAAAGCACATATTCTGCATAAACTACACTCTAAAAAATGCTGGGTTGTTTCAACCCAACTTTGGGTCAAATATGGACTAACCCAACTTTTGGGTTAAAAATGTAATGTAAAAATTTTACCCAACAGTTGGGTTAGTCCATATTTGATCCAAAGTTGGGTTGAAACAACCCAGCATTTTTTAGTGTGTACCTTACCTCACCTTATTAATAAGCAGCAAATTAGGAGTTTATCGAGTCAAAAGTCGTAGTTAAGGGTTTGTTAATAGCGAGAATTGGACCTTAAAATAAAGTGTGACCGTTACAGTTAATCAAACAATAATACTGACAAAAGAAAGAGAGAAAACATCTCACTGCTATTCATTTATTTCTTTATTTCTGGCTGTTTGCTTGATAATTAAAACTTTAGGGAGTTTGAAGCAATGTTCACCATATTTAAAAAATACTTGAAAGCTTTTTAATTAAATATTCGTATTTTCCCTGTATAAATACAGAGATGTTCAATAGCAATTTTTTTTCCATTTAATCAAAACTGATTTCAAGAATGATGAAATTTCACTAGTATTGGTACTGACCACTGAAAGTTGGGTATCCTGACTGGTCTCGATCTGGTCTTTCCATACAAGTGAGATCTGAACATCATGATGTCTTGGAAATGCTGTCCTGAGTCCCACACTCTCTGTGTCTCTTTCTTTCTATCTCACTTCCACCATTCTGCAAGAATTGTGAGCTAAACCAATCAGTTAGAAGACGATGGGCCAAAGCATATAGAACCATTCGCCACTATATAAATATCAAGTTTAGAAATGAATCACTTAGAGAAGCTGATAAAAATGGGCCATAGTCAGCCTGTCCGCTCCACTTTCACCCAAGTAAGTGCTTCATTAGCCAGTCTCTTTCCACTGTGAGAGTGCAGTGCAAGATTGAGAGAGAGAGAGAGGGAGATAGAACCTGCTAAATTATTTATGGGCAAAATCCTACTTAATTGGTATCTTTTTTTAAAATGGGGTCAAATGTTGTTGTGCAGCATCACACAGGTTGTTCTTTTACCCAGTGCAGAGGCATCGCATCAGATGTTGAGCGCACATCAATTGCATTCAAATCCTTTGATGGGCACAACTGGCTGTGCCAAGTCAGGACAAAAAAAAGGGGGGTAGGGGGTTAATGAAAAGAAAACAAGTGATGTATATCACTCTCATGAGTTACACAAGATTACACAAAATTGTAGTAGTCTACCACTGAAGGCCTTGTTAGCCACCTAGCTTGTGCTAATACAATGCACATCATTGAAGTCTATTATTAGTGCAGAGTAAGTGATGTGATGGGCAAAGGGAAATCCTGCAATAGTAATGTGTGTTTTATAACTTTGAAATGTGGGAAAAGTACTTTGAGAGACTTTATTTACCATATTTTAGCTCTGTGCTGCTCTGTGTTTCCCCATCTGTGCTTGTCTTGCTTTATATTGTGTTGTCTAAATGGATTGTTTCATTTGTTCATTCCATGTGTATTTATGTCTTTGAATGTCTAGCACTATGTGTTCTAATCGCTGAGCTTTCCCAGAGGGAAATGCTATTGCTCAGATGTTGCTCTTTCATAGCTCATGAAACTTAATGTGCTCAATCTTAAAGGGATAGTTCACCTAAAATTAAAATTCTGACTTTTTACTTGGAACACTAAAGAAGATATTTTGAAAAATGTGGGGTCCACTAACTTTCACTGTGTGAACAAAAACACTTTTTACAGTTTTAACGTTTTTGACAATTGCTTACTATTTCTGAAACTATGGCTCATTTTCTAAACGCTACACATAAAACCCCCAAACACTCATACAACATGCAAAAGCTATCACTTTAAGTCACATTCAAAACTATTTTAACTCTTCTCAAAATGTGTTTTTGCATCATAGCTTGCACAATTAATTCGCTCTTATACACACCAACTACACAAGGATGTGACAAATGTAAAACACTACTATCTTATGTCTTGCATATTCATTGTGCATGGGGTCACACAGCCATTTGCCATATATATGTATATGTGCACAAATACTGTAAATACAATTTGTATGCATGGTCAGTATATATTTACACTATAAACAGAGATGCAAGTGAAATTATTTATTTCTCAAAACAGACTTTTGATTTCAAAGTGAACAAATTAGCTATGCATACACTGTAAACAGAAATGAAAGGGCTAAAATAGCCTAAATGTTCTCAAAGCATTGAGTTTTGATTTCTAAGTGAACAAATTAGTTATGAGTGTGTTCACGTGTGCGCACTGGGTGTAGGTAATCAGTAAATAAATGTGGCATTTAGAATTACTGATTGTTTTCAAATGAAACACAGGCTGTTTTGATTGATGTGTCTACTGTAGAGAACTGTATTTACTGTGTTTTGTTTACTGTGGAAAAACTTTCAAACTGAGTGTGAAGCAGATGATGTGCTTGCAGTTTTTCAAACTTGATCTAAAGAGTAGGTACATTAAGTACATCAGGTTTAAGCCTCAAGTACCGCTTTTAGTGTGTAAGCGATTTTTAAGAAAACTGTAAACAATATATTTCTTGTGTTCTACAGGAGAAAGAATGACATACAGCTTGGAACGACGTGAGGGTGAGTGGATGAAATATTTTGCATGAACTATTTCTTTATCAGCTTGTCTAAAATATTTATCCTAAAATTGCTTTATAAATAAATAAATAAAACTGAGACAATTAATGGCATACTTTAAAAGTATAGACTTATACCATTAATGTCAATAGGAAAGCTCAGTTAATTTGGTTTTGGAAGAATTTGTTGAGAAATGTTCAGGCTTATATTAAAATATCTGTCTTTTGATAGCAAACTTGCAGACTGTTAACTTGGTAAATCAATTTTGAGACATTGGTCAGATCTCTTCTGAACCTATAGAGGAGACACTTGTGAAATTACTGGGGTCTTTCTTAGAAGCAACATCTGACAAGCAGTGTAGTTCATTCCTGAGGAAAAAAGAGAGAAACATTTCTTTCCAATGGGTTTCCCTGAGTCATTGCCTACATATCTGTCTCTCGTTTTGTGTGACTACTATGCATCAAAACTAGACAAACCTTGTCTTGTGGAGCACTGGAGACAGCCTAATGCTTATAGCACACATTCTTTCCTCTTTCCCATCCTCAAACAGGTTGGCTAGACCAGTCTTCACTCACCCACACCACTTGTCAGGCGTTGGTCTGGTCCACTGCAGCGTCTGCAGTCGACCCAGCACAACCTCCAGCGCATGGATGCTTCATTTGATGGCTTGAAGAGAAACCCATCCCTCAGAGAGGAGTCTTCACATGGTACATCAGAGGAGAAGAGCCGGGTGCTGTCTGCGAGGGAGAAGTAAGGAAATGGCTTCTCATCAATCACCTTCCGAGAGAGGCATGGCAGGAGAGGAGGTGTCGGGGGAACCGAGGGAAGAAGCGAGCTGTCTACACTGGCTGCAGAATGCAGACCCAGACTCAAACGACATGTCTCCTGTGTGTATAAGGTATGCAGATGTAGAGGTAGATGTGCTTCTGTGCCTTCCAGAGGAGACGGTAGATGGAAATGGACAGGTGGGCAATGGAAGAGGAAAAGCACATGTTATGTGTTGTTGTGACTGTCTGTTGGGAGATACTTATGGTTAAGTTCTTGTGTGTTTCCATCTTTAAACTATATTTCTCATTACAATATTCCAGAACAATCAAGTCAAGGTATCCCTGAGTCATAAAAGCCCTCTATCCCAGCCTGTACATGGCACATCCTCTCAAACTGTCCACAACAACCTCCATCTTGGCTCAGTTTCCAAGGCTCTCAAGCAAACTAGCCTAAAGCTGTGTGAAACAGGCAGTGTATTCCTCTGGCTCAGACTAAAGAGATGTGTCCACGTCAGCTGGTCCAATTCTGTCTTGCAGACGTCAAAAAAGAAAAAAAAAACACCCCCAGCGAGCCGCTCTGCCAGGACCACCACATAACCGGGGGTAATACAGAGCTTTGAAAGAAGGGAGCTTAAAAAAACTCATACAAGTTAAAAAGACACATTTTTAAGAACTTGTGATATTTTAGGTGCTGCTACAAGAGTTTCTGACCATCTCCTTGTTTTCTTCCATGGAACAGTGGCTTTCAAATATCTATCAGAGCAGTCTGGGCTTTTACTGTGCTGCATAGTGGATGCACACAGCTGCTGCTCCGAGATGTTTCATGGTGAGAAATTTCCACATTTGAAAAATCATTTCAGGGTCTGTGCTGAGAAATGGATGTGACATATAGTTTACTGTAAATGGATTTGCACAACAATACAGATATAAAAACAGCTCCTTGTTGTCTTTTCATGTTTTCATTTGGCTTGATTTATACAGTTTGAACCATCCAAAACTAGTAACTAGTAAGTTGGGGGGTGGGGCAAGTTGTCCAAGTTCTCTCTATCACTTATTGCATAACTATATGTTTAGTGTTAAGTTAAATTTCCACAATCGTTTGTTCAGTTTACAAACAAATGGCTTTCATGACCCAGTCCTTTGTAATAAATCAAAAACATTAATGGAACAGTGTCAAAAAAGTGTCAAACTGGTTGTGGTTGAATCAGACTCACTTAGATCACTATAATGGCATTAAATGGAAACTAAACCGCTTCTGACCAACCATCTTTATGGCTTTGATTTCCTTTCGAACACACATACTGGCAAAATGTATACAAATTCAAGTGCACTGCAAGTTGCTTTGAGTAAAAATGTCTGCCAAATGCATAAATATAAATGATGGTAATGATGACAGAATAATGAAAATGACAACAATTGATATTCTGTGAGTGATAATCAATGAATGCTAATGTTATACAGTGTTGTAGCTTAACTGGTAGAGCATGAAGTAGGGAGCACACAAACCAATGAAAATGTTACTTTAATGTTACTTTTAAGTGTCTGATCAATGCATAAAATCTTTTTAAAAAAGCCAAAACCTTATCAACATGTTTTTATTATTGTTTTAAGTTATAAAATCTCTCTTTTGGAGATGTTGACACTTTCCGTGAGGTCACATATTTGTCCTGATAAGGTTCCAGTCACCCATGCCATGGATGGCAGTTCTCAGCACCTCACTATATCAATACCATACACTCCACTCCGCCTAAGTTCATTGATTCCAGTGCAGGTGGTCGATCAACCTACCTGTGCTCTCTGTTTCTCTCTCTCCCTTGCACTATATCAATACTCTCATCTACCTTCCTATCGATCACCTCTCCATCCTCTTTCTCTCCATCGTGAAGTGGCCTCACCATAATGTTAATTTTGTGACAGATTTACAATAAATCTGAGGTTATTATTTAACTGTTCAGTCTTTGGTGCTTTCTGTGATTTACTGTTGAAGTGGGAAGGAAGAGTTATTGTCGACACAGATGTCCCACGTCGAACTAGAAGGTAGGCCTGATCGTAACTCACTACCCAAGTATCTAGTTAGTCAATCACTTGTTCTGTAATCACAAATGCTGCCAGATATTACATGAATGATGAGTGGCAATAAAATATCTTGCGTTTTTCTGTACCGGGACTTAAGTGTTATTGGCTGAGGCCACTTTGTCCCAGGAGAGCTAGACTGTGAAACACAATCCCCTGATATAAACTGCCTCATTGCTTCTGACGCTCCTGCTGCTGCAATGTGTTAGTATGGTGGTTGTACTTATGTACACAGTGTGAATATAGTAGAAAGTCTGTAGTGACATCATTGTGACAAACAAGACTATGAACAGAATACATTCATCCATCGATTCTCTAAACCGCTTATCCTCTGTAGGGTTACAGGGATGCTGGACCCTTTCCCAGCATCTCAGGCTGCAGGCCGAGAATCACCCTGGACAGATGGCAACATTATATATTATTATTAAATATTTAGTTCCAGTATATATAGTATATATCCAGTAAATATTTTTATCAAGTTCGTATGCTTAGGTTCAGTAATTTTACTTTAATGGCAATTTATAGGTCCTTTTCTATGCAATTAAATTGACATGTTTTGTTATGCTGGTTGAAAGTCTCTTCTCATCCCAATAGTAATCACTAAGTTAAGTGGTCTAAATGTATTTAAATGTATTTATATCATCTGTGGAAGGTGTAGGACCATAAAATGTTCATTGAATCATATTTCTCAGTCTGAGGATTACGATAGGCTGCCCTACCTGCCTGTCAACGTATGTATTTGGATACCTCCATGCACCCTGTTTGCGCGGACATGATACGCCTTCAGTGCATTCCATTGCAGACCAAGCGAGAATGGAAGGCGTTATTATTGTAATATTATGCACTTTGTACTGTAATGTTTTGTCACTGTTGAATGAGACATGAGGTAATCTGTCAGCATTGCATTCAACCCTTCACCAATGCCGTCTCTCATCGTGTTGCTGGTAAGCCTCTTGTCTGCCTGTGCGAGTTCATGTGTTTTGGAGGAGGAGTGGCTTTGCAGAGTGAATATGCAGGGAGGGTGGGATCTTGCTTTCAAAGCTAGCTATAGCAAAGCTAGTGAAATGTATTTGGTTCCCACCCTCCCTGCTAGCCTTTCCGAAATCACCTACCCTACTTTTAACAGAAATTCACCATCATGTTTCTTGAACCACTCCTTGACAATTCTGGCAGTGTGGCATGGCGCATTATCCTGTTGGTAATGACCATCACTGGCAAGGAATACAGATACCATGAAAGTGTGCACTTGGTCCACCCATGTTCAGATACCTGACAGCTGTCAGGGATTGTGCTATTGGGATAATGAGGCCTAAAGTGTCCCAAGAAAACATTGTCCACAGTATAACACCGCTGCTGGCGCCCAACAGTGCATCCAGGTGCCATAGCCGATTTTGGTAATCGGCGTATCCTCATTCGGCCGTCGACGTGATGCATCTGGAGTCTTGATTTGTCAAACCAGAGGCCACTTTCTTCCAATCATCGACGGTCCAGTCTTGAGGATCTTGAGCCTATTTCATGCTATGTTAACGATGGTGTGCAGTTACAGTAGCATGAGAATCCGGCTGCGTCGGCGACTACGCAGGCCCATACACAGAAGGCTGCGGTGAACTGTGTGCTGTGACACATTGCTCTAGTCACCACTGTTGCAGCTGATGATGATTTGTCACACGGTGGCCCTGCAGTTGCTGTGAACAATGTCTGTGAACAGTCTCCAATCCCCTCTGGCATCAATCTGTTCATCGTTTGGCCATCCATGCACCACTTTTGATATATACTCACTACAGCGGCACGTGAACAAATTACGAAAAGATAATTTAAAGTTATTATTGTGTTGCATGAAAAAGCATGAAATATTATAAAAAGTAGCTTTAGAAAGATTTTTTTTTTTTTCATTTTTGGGTGAGCTGTCCCATTGATTAGTTCATGAATATGGATTTTTTTTTTCCAGATTTTTTATTAATATGTAAATATGAATTTGTTTTAATGTAACTATCATCTACATAAGCAACTAAATCTGCCAGTAGGTGGCAGTAAATGTATTCGGCTAATGATTAATGAAACAGCTGATTGATTCAGGAAAGAAGTACATGGCTCTCTTTATGAATGGGCCATTGGTTCACCCGATTTGTTCAAAAGCGGATTCATCACCAATCAACTGTATAGGTGTGTTGGACTTGAAGTGACGCTTCTTTGACTGATCGGTGTATGACACCATAGTACTGCGAGAGCTATACCTTAATTTTCAATGCGGAAGTAAGCCGTTTTCTGTGAATGTGCAAGATTTTCGGTTCATTAGCCATAGGGAAAGTGCAGTAAACGGTAAAACTGTTTGCACTAAAAAACCAGTGTGTTCATAATTAAGCAAGACAATCAAAACAATAAGGTAAGACACACTAGTTTGCAATATCAAGCAGCAAAACGAACTGTTTTATACAGCTAAAAATAGCTGGAAGCCAGTCCCATAAAATTTACAAATGGCCACAGCCGTTCTTATGGGAAAAATAAAGTGGATAGAGAGCAAATGCTCTGCATGCTTTCGAAACGCTCTCGCTGTACTTTGTTGTCAAACACAGATCGATTGTCTGGGTTAATTGTGTTTATTGTTATGTTTATTGATAAGTTCTGCTTTGTTGTGCTGTGGCCTACAGACAAAGTAAATTCACTTAAAAGTCCAGTTATGAACGACAAGGATAAAAGATTCTAGCTGTGTTTTAGTCTGCACAGTCCAGCAGTGTATTTGATTTCTTTGCCAATTAAAAATAAGATTTAAAAAAGCAATAAAACCTGTCAATTAGACAATAAATAAATAAATCTAAAATGATGGCTACGCCCCTTGCTGCAGCTAACGTTACTTCCACAGGCTATGCAAACCCCTTAAACCTTACTCCCATCTGGGTCACGGCACCAATGTAACCCCTCCAGTTCTACTCCCCTCACTCGCTCTGAGCGGGATTTAAACCAGTGGTTCCAGTATGGGAGGCAGGCATGCTAACAAGGACGCTAAAGACCACAGCCTCTAGCGTCAGTCGCTAGTGT